ATCTCAGCTGTGTGGGAAGCTCAAAGAAGAAGCTAGCTAGGCAAAAACAGGAGCCCCTATAAATAACTTAAAGCAAAAATGGCTAGAAGCATAGCTCAAGTAAGAGAACACTTGCTGAGGCTCTGAGTTCAAAGGACAGCACTACAGAAAATAAGTATTTGTATTGAATTTCTTGATCTTTGTTAGTGGGAGCAAAGCAAACTTTGCTGTAATACTTTTTTTTAAAGTGAGAGTGAAGTGAAACTGTGTGTGTGTGTGTGTGTGTGTGTGTGTGTGTGTGTGTGTGTTTGCATTGGGGACAGAGTTTTGTTGAGATACACTCAGTTTATGTGAGCTTATTTTAAGGAAATGGGATTAGAAAAGAGGAAAGGAAATATAATTTTCTGTCTCTTTACTGGATGTATAGTTAGTTACATGAATGATTTGTAATTTTAAAAACAAACAGAATTAAATTTTTTAATGATAAGTGCTGCAAAGTATGAGCTATAAGAGTTATAAGGAGCTATAAGAGCACTATTGCTTTCCCTTCATCCCAGCACTGGAACTTCTGACGCATAGGAAGTCGCTTTGTTGTTGGAGTTACAGCTGATTGTGGTTTTTGTGCCTGGCACATGGCTGAAGGAAAGAAGACTTGTTCCAGGAGAACCATTCCCTGAAGTGAGCATCTTACTGAGGGCTCACTGTGTGCTGAGCCTAGCACTGGGCATAGAATATATCACAAGTCCAGTAAAACTGAGCGCTTCAGCATTTCTAGACATGAAGGAGGGGGAAGGTTCCATTATATTTTACCTTGAACTAGGTAGGCAGAGCCTTGGAACGATGGTGGAGCTCGTGGACAGGAGAACTTTGGGTTGGCTGTATGACCAGCATATTAGCATATATATCCAAGCTTTTCTCCTTAAGATGTTCCTGAGCTCGTTGAGATAGATGATAAACATATGTCCCTGTGGACTGTTGGCACACAAGAGGACTTGTGTAAAGACCCTGAAGGGAGACCAGGGTCCAGGAAAGAAATGGGAAGATACAGAAGTGAATCAAGTTACTTTGGACAAAAGGACTGGGCTAGGCATTTTCTGAAACTGGATGGCTTTTCTCACCTGCTTCCCATAATAACCCCATCAAGTAGGTATTACAACTAAGAAAGCAGAGCCAGAGATGATACATAAATTACCCTCACCTAAAATTTGATCCAAAATTATCCTATATTTCCTAGAATCCTCTGAAAATATTAGGATACTGCCAGTTCCATTAGCATTAGAACTAAAGTTCTAATTTCATCTCAAGGTAGATTAAATTAATAAAGGTATTTTTTGAGATTGACTATAAATTTTATAGGTTTGTACCATTTTACATATGAAGTCAAGGCCCTGTAGAGTTACAGACTTAGTTTAATGTCACACAAGGCCCTTTGATACCACAGCAGGGATTCTGATCTATGCCTCTGTTCTCCCCAGGCCTGTACTTTCTCCTCCACCCATCTGCCTCAGTCAGGTTCGTCTGTGCCTGGAGATGAGCTGTGATGGTTGCCCTGCAGGTCTTCCCTGTAACATTCACCAAGTGGAAATGAGTCAGTGTCTCTTAGAATAGCTTTTTTTGTCCTTCCAAAAGAGCTTGCATATTCATTATGGTGCCTTTATCTCTTAGCAATGACTGGGACAGGCATTGTTTTATAGATGCAGAGACTAAAGTCCCTGAGAGGTGGTCCTCTGACCAGAGTAACATGATAGATGGCTAGAGTTGCACTCCTTCCCTTGGAAGTGGTTGAAATGAACATCCTTGTTCACTGGCCTCCAGAGGCAGAGAAGAGTGTTGGGGGAGATTGTCGATGGTGAGTGTCTCCAGTGGTGCTTTATTGGTCCATACAGAGGCTTGGAGCTGGCTGCCGCAGTGTGCAAGGTCAGACATGTGCATCCTGTCTCATCAGCTGATGTGTCTTGCCTTTTGTTTTCCTGTGCTGCCTTTCTGCATGTAACCAGAGCTGCATTTTTATCTTTTTTTTTTAATCTCAGCCTGAAATGCTGCCAACCACTGCAGGCCCCATGCATTTTTAATGTAGTGATGATTAGGAGGCCATTGGGGTCTCATTTCATTCGACTGCTAGAGATGTTTCTTTCCCAGCTTGTTCCTAGTCTGGACTCCTTTCTGTTTCACAGATACTCATTGTCTCTCAGCACTTACTAAGGATGTAATAAAGTGAAATTTCTAAAACCTTGATTTTCTGAATAGCTAAGAGATTTCAGAAGGGAGGTATTTCTCAACTTTCTGAAAAAGAAATTAATTCCAAGTCAACAGATATTTACTGAGTCCTGACTTTTGTAGTGTAGTTCACTGGAAAATTCGACAGGGAGTATTTGTTGATGGGGATGCAGAAGTGAACCAAGGTGACTCTTCCTCTCATGGTCTGGTGACAGGGAAAAATGAAAACATGTATAAATATACTACCTGGGAACCATTAAGTGCAGAAGATTGTAAGCAGGGACTATTTCTAACCAAGGGGGATGACTTGATTAGCAAAGAAGTGCTGGTTTGAAGTCAGTCTTTAAAGACAGGACTTCGAACCCCTGTTGTCACTGTATTTGATTCCGGTGGCCTGCATCTTGTATATACATTTTTCTAATTTGGGAAGGGAAGGGAAATAACAAAATGCTGAAACAAGGATAGAGATTGACGCATTGTAACAATGAGACATACAAGACACTATGTTGCAAACAAACTTTACAAGTTGGGGGGAAGAGCTGGGAGGTAGGAGGGAAGGGATGGTAAGGGAAAAACAAAGGAAAGGGTGACAGTGCTCAATAGGAAATGTAGTCATTACCTTACTCATACAACTGTAACCCCCTGTACAGTATCTTTACAATAATATATACATATATATTATACATATGACAGGACTTCAAAAAATACTCTGTCCATTATTTGGTCCAGTAAATGCTGTGCCCCATACAAGTGCATGCTTCTCTGTATACCATAGCAAAGGAAAAGGGAAAGGAAGAAATAAAGATGGATCTCCCTTTACATGGCCAAGAAGAACAGTACTGCTTTTTTGATGTCTATAAAGATTGGGATACCCTGGGTATTTTTGATGAGTGGTAATGTTAGCAAGGAGGTTGGTGAGTGGTTGTCAGACTTCAGGTGTATTTTAAAAATGGAGGCCCCATAATTTGTCACTGGATTGCACTGGATTGCATCTGGGGCATGAGAAATAAAAACGAAATATGATTTAATGTTTTTCAGCATTATAGCTTCAAGAATGTAACTTGATATTAACTGACCAAGGGAAGGGATTGTGGATAAAGGGTTGAGAAAGTCAATCAAGGATTTGTTGTAGACATGTTAAGACTGAACATTGTTACCAGGCACCCAAGTGGAGATACTTAATCAGTAGTTTGAGGGTTATTTGTTTTTTTGTTTTGTTTTATGGAGATGGATGTTGATTGTTCTCAGGGCCCTGTGCTTACCAGGCAGACACACTACCACTTAAGCTTTACTTCCAGTCCTATTGGTTTTGTTATTTTCTTTTTTTTGGGGGGGGGGCGGTCCGGTCGTGGGCCTGAACTCTGGGTCTGGGTGCTGTCCCTCAGCTCTTCAGCTCAAGGCTAGCACTCTACCACTTGAGCCACAGCACCACTTCCGGCTTTTTT